TGAGAACCGTGAGTTCGTCAGCGAACATCAGCGCCGTGTGTAGGGTGAAGTCATGGAGGGGAGTGTAGTTCTGTTCGGTGAGGCAGTTTATGGAGGGGTCTTTGCGGAGGAAGGAGGCTATGGCTTCCATGATGACCAGGAAAAATTGGGGGTGCCAGCGGGTCGCCTTGGTGAACGGATCTCGATATCGGGAAAGTGTCTGACAGTATTTTGTTTGTCTTGACTCTGACGGTGGCGTCTCCGTATAGCACTCTTGCCCATTCTCTGAAGTTTGGGCCGACAGTCACCGTGGCAACCTATTGATTGAATAAGTAATCAGAAAATCAATCAATAAGCTAATGAAAAAGCTCGACATGATTCATTCTTCCCGAACATAGCATACGATCTTCATCATACTGCGCTCTCTGATTGTATTAGATCTAACGAATGCAATAGACAAACATTCATTTCGATTTTATCCAGAACACTCTTTAAGCAAACGGCGGTCCTCGCGTAACGCTTCTGCGAGAGGCCGCTGCTCACTCTTGGGAAACGTGGCGGGACTGACAAGCGGGCCCAACGGACACTGCGCACGTTTTTTGTGCCGCGAGCGACCTGGCCTTGGACGGGGCGATAGAATTTTCGGGATCCGTGCGTGACCGTTCGCGATACTTCTATCGGGCCATCGAAGGGGGGCTCGATCGACCACGACGGTTGTCGGGTTGTATTTAGGTGCTGCGGTTCGGTTCGATGCAACTCAGTTCGACGATACATGCTGCTTCTCGTGATGGCTTTGCTGTCTTGACACGACTCGAGAGAGAAAGGGTTCGGTTCAACGAGAGAGAGAGAGAGAGAAAGAGAGAGAGAGAGAGAGAGAGAGAGAGAGAGAGAGAGAGAGAGAGAGAGAGAGAGAGAGAGAGAGGCGGAGGTCGGGATTGGAGGTAGAAGCGACAACATGGAGGGGGGGGGGGCGCGCAAAAGAGGAACACAGAGGGAAAAAAAAAGAGAAAAAAAAAGAAGGGAAATCAGGAAGAGAGGAAGAAGACGATTCTGGCAGAGAAGACGCCAGGAACTGGCAAACGAAGGTGCGTTGATGTTTTTTTTTTTTTTTTTGCTTTTTTTTTCGGGTGGGGTTTTATTTTTTTTTCCTAGCGGAAACGTCGGAACCACGTTGGGAGGGGTTGGGGCACTTGGGGAGGGTGAAGTCAGAATGGGAACCGTAAGAGATCGGGGTGGAAGTGAGGGATGGAGGGAGAAGCAAGCAAAGGGAGGAAAGGGGAGAGAGGTTGGGATGGGGAAAAGGAGGGAAAAGTCCGGATAGGAGGCGGAAATCGGGATGCGAGGTGGGAGTGAGAATTTGGATATGATCGTGATCGGGTCGAAGAGAGGTCGGTAGCGGCAGAGGTCGGGATGGGAATGGGGAGGAGGGAGGGATGGAAGCAGAAGAAGTGGTCGGGATTGGGAATAGGAAAGGAACGAGTCGCGAAGCCGGAGTGAGGGGTGACAAAGAGGAGAGGGAGAAGCGATGGAGAAGGAGGTGGAGGTCGGAATTGGAAGTAGAAGCAGCAACATGGAGGGAGGGGGGGGACGTACACCAGTGTGCCACGTGGCACCCCGCGCAAAAGGACACAGAGAAAAAAAAAACAAAAGACAAAAAAAAAAAGAAAAAAAAAAAGGGAAATCGACGATAGTATCGACCAAGGGCATTCTCGACCCACTCTCTAGAGAGGGAGGAAAGGGGAGAGAGGTCGGGATCAGGAAGAGAAGGAGGTAAAAGTCGGGATAGGAGGCGGGTGGAGAGAGGTCGGTAGCGGGAGAGGTCGGGATGGGAACGGGGAGGAGGGAAGGATGGAAGTAGAAGAAATGGTCGGGATTGGGAGCAGGAAAGGAGCGAGTCGGGAAGCCGGAGTGAGGGGTATGATCAGTAGCGGGAGAGGTCGGGATGGGAATGAGGAAACTGAAGTTGGTTGGGAAAGGGGGGGGAGGAGATGGAAGGGAGGGAACGTACACCAGTGTGCCACGTGGCACCCCTTGGCGGGTGGGGGGGGAGAGGGAATGGGAGTTGGGAGCAGAGAGGGAGAGGGAGAAGGGATGCCTATAGCAGAGGGAGGAAAGGGGAGAGAGTTACGGATTTGATCGTGATCGTGACGGAGAGAGGTCGGTACCAGGAGAGGTCGGGATGGGAGCGGGGAGGGGATCGAAGTCGGGATACGGGAAAGGAGCAAGTCGGGAGGCCGGAGGTAATGAATAGGAAGGGGGAGAGGTCGGGATGGGAGTCAGGATAGGAGAGGGAAGGCGGGCGGAGAGAGGTCGGTAGCGGGAGAGCTCGGGATGGGAACGGGGAGGAGGGAAAGATAGAAGAAGAAGAAATGGTCGGGATTGGGAGTAGGAAAGGAGCGAGTCGGGAAGCCGAAGTGAGGGGTCAAAAAGGGGAGAGGGAGAAGCGATGRAGAAGGAAACGGAGGTCGCAATTGGAGGTGGAAGCGGGAACATGGATATGATCAGTAGCGGGAGAGGTCGGGATGGGGGACGGAGAGAGGTCGGTAACAGGAGAGGTCGGGATGGGAGCAGGGACGGGATCGAAGTCGGGATACGGGAAAGGAGCAAGTCGGGAGGCAGGAGGTAATGAATAGGAAGGGGGAGAGGTCGGGATGGGAGTCGGGATAGGAAAGGGAAAGATCAGTGTGCCACATGGCACCCCATGCAAAAGAGCAAAAGAAAAGAGGAGACGGAACAACAGAAAGGAAGAAGAGAAAAAATAAAAATTAAAAAAATTAAAAAAAAAGAGGAAAAAAGTACAAAAATCGATGATAGCAAACCCGAGCGAGAAAGTGCATACTGCCTATCAACCAATATTGATCGAATGTCGCTGGGGGGAAAGAGAGCGGGGGATGAAAGAGAGAGGGATAGGGGGAGGGAGAAATACACAGAAGGGACCTAGTGGAAACGTCAGCACCACGTCGATGGAGGGAGAAGTGGGCAGAGGAAAAAAACGGGGGAGGGCATTGCTGAACCAATCTCTATTACAATATATATTGATCGAGTGTTGCTTAAAAAAAAAAAAAAAAAAAAAGCACCCTGCGCAAACGAACAGGAAAGAAGAGGAGACAAAACGACAGAACGAAGGAAGAACCCCCCCCCCCCCCCCCCCCCCTCTCCCCCCCTGCTTGTTTTTTTTTGTTTTTTTTTTTCTTTTCAATTCTTTTCAGTTTTTTTTTGTTTTTTTTTTGGGCACACATACACACCAACGAGAGGAGGGAAAAGAGGAGAAGAAGACCTGTTCTCCCTTCTCGCAAACTCTGCTCTTCTCGCCGCGAGCGGAGCCGTGGCGGGTCCGCTTGTTGCATTTATGGAGGAAATCCCAGTTGACTTTATTATAGGCCTTTTCAAAGTCAAAAAAGTTAAAAAACAGGATTGCAGCCTGCATTCGTTTTTCTGTGATCTTCTTTGCGGCCTCATTCATGGTCATCACATTGTCTAGCATGTACCTCCCCAGAATGAAACCTGCTTGGGCAATGTGAAAACATTTGTCTGTGAGTTTTATGATCCTGTTGGCTAGTGTTTTTGCTAAGATTTTGATCATTTTGTAGGGGGGGCCAGTTTTATTTTGTATTTTAAATCTGGTAAAGAACTTCGATGTGACCCGGAGGCAAAAGTTGTTCAGAAACCCTTGAACTTTCGGCGATACAAACTCAATCCTTCTCCGGGAAAGGTCATATACGTATGTATTCCGTAATCTGGCGAAATTAATTCAATTCTAAAAATAAATCATCTGTATACGTGATCCTATGGGCGCTCTTGCGTTTTCTTTTATTTACTTCGGCCTCTCACTCAACTCACTCACTCGAAGACTGGAACTACGAAGCGTACAAAATTTCGTAAATATCAGAAAGGAAGAAGCAAAGGCTCCCACGCGGCGGCACAACTTTGTTTTGGAAAATATGGTCTTAAAAGTTGTGAAGCAGGTCGCATATCATATCAAGGAATTGAAGCGGCGCGTCGCGGCATCACCAGGAAATTTCGGAGAAATGGTAAAATATGGGTGAGAGTTTTTTCAGATATTCCTATTACCAACAAACCTACAGAAGTAAGGATGGGAAAAGGAAAAGGAAACCCTACAGGTTGGATTGCTCGTGTTTCCCAAGGACAAATTATTTTTGAAATGGATGGTGTTAGTTTGTCAAATGCTCAAGCAGTTTATTTTTCTGCATAACAATTTTTTTCCTCATATTTTTTGGATTTTTTTTTTTTTTTTTTTTTTGCTGGGACCTTCTTCGGTCCTTGCACGGCCGGACCGCCCAGGCAAACAAGGTGACCCAGGCGGCCCGGCTGGGTATTACATAATTTACAGCTACCAGATGACCTGTTGCGGCTTCGCTCACAAAAACAAATACAACAGGTGATGCATTACTGGTGGAGGCAACCCACCGATGCGAACTCTCTCTCTCTCTCTCTCTCTCTCTCTCTCTCTCCCCTCAACCCCTGGATTTTTGTATCATCAATGTGCAGGGGCCATGCTAATCTTCTGCATTGTTCATTCTAATGTCATGGATGTCCCCTCTCTCTCTCTCTCTCTCTCTCTCTCTCTCTCTCTCTCTCTCTCTCTCTCTCTCTCTCTCTCTCTCTCTCTCTCTCTCTCTCTCTCTCTCTCTCTCATCGATGTGCAGGGGCCATGCTAATCTTCTGCATTGTTCATTCTAATGTCATGGATGTCCCGAAGGACTCTTTCATGCTCTCTTGTCATTTTTTATCGCCTGTCCTTGTGGATTAAAAAAAAAAAAAAAAATTGTGTTTCTGGATTTCTAAAAGGAAGAGATTGCAAATTCTAGGTGATTCAGAGTCTTCATATCGATGACTTGTTTTCAGAACTTGGTTGTGCTGGCTGAAACTTCTTCTTTTTTTTTTTTTTAATCTGCGCGTTGTCTTTTCATTAGTGCATATTCCTATTGGCTTATGTCTTCCATTCTAAAAGTTGGTTTCCTTTCCCTGTTTTGGTATTTCAACTTTTTGTCCCATTGCAGCAATTGGGGAACAGAGTCAGATGAAAAGTTTTCAGGCTACCATAACGGCAACAGTGACCCACGTGGTTTCGGTAAGTCTCTTAAAAGTTAACACTGGAAAGCCATGAGTTTGTAACAGTTCCTACTATTAAATAGTGTTATGATCCTGGCCAATTTTGAGATGCACATTCATCAGATAGTACAATGCTGTCCAATTGCCGAAAGAAATGAATGAACTTGAGAGGAGGGAGAAGGTTAGAAGAAGAAGAAGAAGTAAGAAAGAGGAAGAAGATGATGTACACCAGCATAGACAAATGATAAAGCTCTTCTTCTTCGCTCAACTCTCTCTTCCTCCTTATCTCCTCCTCTTTTATTCACACAAGAAATAATAATGCAATGTTGAATAGCTGAACCAGAATCAAAGTCCGAATGCCTCTTCTACTGCGGGTATCACTTGAGGTCCACCATAGCCATGGCCGCCTCCCTCACTCTTCACTCTCGTAGGCCGAGGCTATGGCAGACTACTTGGGCCTTGCCCTGCTGTGCAAAGGACAACGCAAAGCAGCTATGGCTGCTCTAGCTCAGGCCGCCGTGCCTGACTCTGCCTCGAAGCTTCTTGGTGTAGCTCTCCCCAGCTGGGGTCTCCCTGCTGCAGCGCCCACCAAGGTGCCACCATAGCCAGGTAAGTACCTCTGGCGCTCCTACCCCTTCCTGTCCTTCTTCCTCCTCCCAGTCCTTGCTTCTTCCCCAGCAGCGCTGCTCCAGCCAGCGCTCCAACCAGGGTGTCGCCAAGCTTGCACACCGAGAATGAGACTGGGCTCTTCGCCCTGCCTGAAGATATAGCGGCCTGCTTGCCTCTTGGGCGGTGACTTCCAGGCCGCTTGGCCTTCCCAAGCAACCGGTACCTCCTCCCTTTCGGAGGGAAACATCATTGCAGACTCTGATATTGCCCGTACAGGCCCTAGACTCAGACTGGTTGGACTGGTACCCGCCTAGACCTAGCCTGCAACTACTGGGCCTCTTCAAAATGCCACTTTTGTCTTCTTCTGCTCGGCCTCCAGTACCCGCACATCTACCTCTTCAGGGTGTGGTACCGGCCTACCTGCTGCTTGAGTGTTTTCCCCCGCTGCAATCCCTCAATGTCATGGCCACAGGCAAGTACCGGCCCTGAGGGCCCAACGAACGAACAAGTGCCTTGCGGGCCACACACACACTCAAGCCAACCAGCACTCAGACAGACATGCAGTCCAGCAAGCATGCATACACACAGACTTACAGAACTTGGTAGCAAGCGGGAAACTCAGCAAGGCATTCAGTCTATGAGCAAAACTCAGAAATCAGCTGTGTGTTTCAGTCCATGTTTGGTCGGGTCATCACAATAGTAAATAATAATAGCGTTATAGTTAAAACTTTTTAAAATAATAAGAGCTTTATCCCTACACTTACAGAAATCGTTAACGTGAGAATTGGGCAATCCGGGCCGTCAGCGGTCCTACCGGCCCGAAGGTTTGGATTGTCATGCGAGACTTTAAGATCGCGTGGCGATCCAGGCCGTCCGCGGTCCTACCAGCCTGGATCGCTGCGTCCGTTGAGAAGAGGGTCTGTACGGGCCCATAGGGAACGAAACGCCCGTACCTGTCGAGCATTGGCCCGTTGCGGGGCGGCACCCTCGCTGTAATGGAGTACGAGGGCCCGTTGGGTTGGGGCTTGCCCGTACTCTCCTATTTTGTGGATGTGTGTATAGCCACCATGACATCTCATGGGCGCATGCACACACACACGCACACACGCAAGCATGGAAATGCATCGTTGAGACACTGTCGGGGTTCAACCTCCTGATGAGTGTGAAGTCCTACGAAACAGTCTGGCTCACTCATGCTCTTTTTGTGGTGTTATGCATTGCGAACACGACAACCCACGCACGATCGAAGACACGCAAGCACACATACATGCGTGCACAAACACGGAGTGGGTGGGCATGCGTGTGTGTGTGTGTGTGTGTGTGTGTGTGTGTGTGTGTGTGTGTGTGTGTGTGTGTGAGAGAGAGAGAGAGAGAGAGAGAGAGAGAGAGAGAGAGATGGGGGGATAAAGGCGCAGGAGGCTGCCCATGGGGGATGGGAAGGAGTGCGGATTAGAGGTCCCGGTAGTTTCACAGAAGAAATATTTGCAGGCAGGGTCCCACTTTCCTTGCAAAAGTAGATTTATCGGATCCGCACAACATTTCTGCTCCAAAATCTCTTTAAAAAAAGGTAGGCAAAAAAGGCAGTGTCAGGAACTAGGGGTTTGCTTTGTGGGACATCAACAAGAATTGTGGAGGGCGTGTTTGACTTCGACCTGTCTGTCTGTCTGTCCCTGTCGGGCATGTTTGACTTCGACCTGCTGTTGTTTCACTCTCTCCCTCTGTCTCACTGTGTCCGACAGATAGACATGCAGACAAGGCCGACAGGTTTGACACAGAGACTGTCTATCCATGTCTGTCTGAGTTTGTCTGTCGGTCTATCTCTGTCTGTGCATGTAAAATTTACTCAGAGTTTCTTAGCAACTCACTCGGGTTAATTCACCATTTTTCTATATCTTTGTGACTGTTTTGGGTGGGGTAGCGTTGAAAAACAAACCTGACTGCCTATCTCTGTCTAAGTGTCTCTGACCAATAGACGGACAGACAGATGAGGCAGCAGACACGGACTGTCTATCCATCTCTGTCTGTATCTGTGAGTCTGTCTATCTTTCTCAGTGCATGTTTGACATTGACTTTCTGAATGCCCATATTTGACAATCTATCTCTGTCTAAGTGGCTCTGACTGATAGACAGACAGGCAGACAAGGCAGTGAACATGGACTGTCTATCCATATCTGTCTGTATCTGTGAGTCTGTCTATCTTTCTCAGTGCACGTTTGACTTTCAAACTGCCCATATTTGACTGTCTATCTCTGTCTCAGTGTGTCTGGCTGATAGACACACAGACAAGGCAGCGGTCAGGGACGGACAGACTGTCTATCCGTCTCTGTCGGCATCTGTAACTTCGTTTATCTCTCTCTGTGCATGTTTGACTTTCCGTCTGCATGTGTTTGACTGTCTATCTCCGTCTCAGTGTGTCTGACCGATAGACAGACAGTCAAGGCGGCGGCGGTGGTCAGGGACAGACAGTCTGTCTATCCATCTCTGTCGGTATTTGTGAGTTCGTTTATCTCTCTCTGTGCATGTTTGACTTTCCGTCTGCCTGTGTTTGACTGTCTACCTGCAATGAACCTGCAGATTGTTAGAAGGTTCACGGGTGTAAAAAAAGTGACCGGGTCCGGCGGGTCGTCTTTCTAATTTTCCTAAAGTTTGGGTCCTAACCAGTGACTCTGCGACAGGCCAAGCCCCACAGCGACATTTCCGAAAATCATCTGAAATTTTCCCAGGCCCTAGGTTTTTCTTCTGGCACTTGGAACTAAATGGTACCGTAGTGACCGGGTGCAGGCCCATTTCGTTTCGTAGTGTCTTAGGTCCTAGGGTCTAGTAGTCCAGGGAGTATCGAAATAGAGATGGGTCACAAGTAGAACGGGCTTTTTGGTTCTTTTCGTTTTTGGTGGCAAGACGCTGCCACTCTTGAGAGCGACGCCGCTGCTGCGAGGAAGAAGACCGCCATAGTCGGGGCGGTGATAGGGCCTTAAACCAGTGCATGCTAGCTATAGGCCGCGGGCCCCTTTCGGAGGCCGCCCGCCCACCGCCAATTCATTTTATCTACAGTGCTCGGCCTCCTAAATTTTTGGAGGGGCTCAAAACAGGTTCTCCAGTGATGCGTGACCGCTGCAGTGGCTGTCAGTGGGAATGTCAGACCTGTGCTGTTGGGGTTAGGCGCTGTCAGCGAAAACGCCACACCTGTGCTGTTGGGTTTTGGCGCTGCCATCATCGTCTTCATGGCAGCTACCGTCTTCTTCTTCGCGTGAGAACTGGGCCGTTCCTGTTGCACCTTCTCCGTTCAGGGAGCTGGCGTTGCCCCTCCTGATCGGGTGCCGATTGGGCGCCAGGAGTACAGGAGTACCTTCTTTTTTTTTTTTTTTTCTTTTTTTTTTATTCCAGGTCCAGGGTGTTGTTCTGGACCCTCGACAGTTACCTATCTACAGTCAGCGAGTATTGACCTGAAGCTCTGCAGATGGGATGGTGAAGGGATGGGCGGGCTACTCTTCTTTAGCTCGATGAAAGATTTGTTGGAATTTGTTTGGGGTAGTTTAAACGCGGCTGGAATTCATGGGATTTTTTTGGATATGTGATTTTGATTGATTGATAGAAGGTGGAAGCGGAATAACAGATTTGAATTATGAATTCGATTTCAATTTTTCAATTCTACATATATTATATGTGGGTTGGGCTTCCGCTGTGTACCTTCTCTCCGGTGTTGGTGTGGATTTGCCCTCTCCAAGCCTCTGCCTTCTTCTTACCAGTGCATGCGTGTGCTAGTTCATCAATTTGCGCTTATGGTTTTTTTTGTTTTGTTTTTTTTTTTGCGTGTCATCCTTGCGCAGAGGCCATGCTAATCTTCTCTGTATCGTTCCAATTTTAACGGATGTCCCGAAGGACATTTTCGCGTATGGTTTATCTTGGTTGTATGGCTTATCCGTATTGATGTGTTTTGTGGGATGGAATTTCAGTTGGTTACCCCGCATATCTCCGTCAGAGACAGCCATGTCAGAGACATGTTTGGTGGGTATATCTCCGTCTCTACGTGTCTGACTGATAGACACACAAACGAGGCAGACATGTCAGAGACAGACATGTCAGAGACAGACGAACTGTCTATATCCATCTCCGTCTGCGTCTGTGAGTCCACCTATCTCTCTCTGTGCATGTTCGACTTTCCCGCTTGCCTGTGTTTGACTGTCGACCTCTCTCTGTGTGCGTTTGACAGAGAGACGGACAGCAAAGGCTGGCAGGTCCGAGAGTATGCGAGTAGGGAAAAAAGAAAAAGAAAAAAGGAAAAAGCCTGAAAAAAGGTAGTAGTTTGAATGCTTGCTTTTACAGTCTTGTTCGTCATCTTAGTCTATAGTACTCTTGTCATAGTCAAAATATCACAATATGACCCTCCTGGATGCATCTGAGCGGGAATTA